TTAGAAATTAATTTAAACATATTATGTGTAATTTTAAAGAATGGATATACTTAAGCACATCACTAATGTCTAATTTTAATTATAGGATACGGAAAAACAAAATAAACTCTAATTAACAAGTTGTTAGGAAGATATAATTTCACAATAGATTTTATAAAGAGGTTTCGAACAATGTTGAATTGCAACAACAAAATTTTTATTTTATTTTACATTAATTGAATTTTTGGCTAATCACACAGTTGCTTCGAGTATTCTCAAATACCCATTATCAGTGGTCTTGGAATTATTTCTTATCTATAGTTATTCGTAAATAATTTTTTGAGACAACAAGCACCAATAGTTGAACTTGTATCCTGCTCAGGGTACAAGTACAATTTGAATTTCAGAGTCATTAGTCAACTGACCCAATGTCGTAATTGACTTGTATGTTCGAACTTGGAGTCTTGTTAATTTCATTAACAAATTGACTTACTCTCTTATATTAGAACAAAATCATAAAGCAGCTGTAGAATAATTGAATTATTAATTAACTTTTAAATGTAAAATTTGAATACTTTTCTTTTACAGAGGCTTTATTTATTGCATGATATTCTTTCCTTCTTCTTTATACAAAAAGAAGGAACGTGATGCGGAGAAAGTCAAATAATATAACAAATAATTCCAAGACTACTGATGATAGGAATTTGGCGATACTCCAAACAGCTGTAAATTGGTCAGTCAAAAACCAATTAATTAAAAATGAAATAAAAATTTTTGTTGTTCCAATTTAGTACTGTTCGAACCCTGTTTTATTAAAATACACAATAATTTCTATTAAATAAAATAGTCACTACCAATCACGACGTTAAAAGTGACGTTAAAAGAAAATTGAACAACGGATTGCATATAGAGACTTAAACAATCAAATGGGAGTGACGTGACTCTGTAAGTAACGTAATTAGTCTAATAAAAGTTTATTGGTTAAAAATAGCTATAGAAAATTGGCTATTTAATGGCATTTGAAATATGAAATATCCATTATAAGCACACAACTCGACTACTTACATATGAAAACTCGGAACTGCAGATATTACCGACGAATAAATCGCTCACTCCCAACAGACTTGCTAAATATTATGATCTAATGTCAAAATTTTTATATATATTCCTTAACTTACCCATTGAAAAAATTGTATTTGTTAAATATTGATTTGATATAGAAAGAATTTTTTTTTTTGGACAAAAAGAAAACTTAACAACGTTCCACACAAAAGTGAATACAGTGGAACTACATGGAAATATTGAATAGAAAATATTGTAGACTAGGCAACTTTTTAATTGTTTGTATATGATTAGAAGATCCATACTAGTCTAGATATATAATTTTAACAAATTATGTTAAAATGCAGTGGGAGATTTTATTCCTCGGAGTCATAGCTGTAAATCAAGCAGTTGTGTAGATCATATATAGCGAAGGTATTAATTTAAAGTACTTATTATGCATTAGGCATCTAATTTAAAGCAAATAAAAAAAAGCTGTACACGTATCGTAGACATTATTATGTTAGTTCTAACAGCGCTGTTTAGTCCTTAACTGTCTGAAGGAGTTTTCTCTTCTGTTTTCAACTTCTGCCTGTCGCTGATGCCCGTCAGTTGTTGGTAACTCTACGAGAATTACAGATATGAAATATATGTATATATGCATATGAGTATTTATATAATAAATACCATTAATAGCAGTGTTTTTTTCCCACAGAGAATATTTATTAATGGTAAAAAATTTTTAATACACTATTTTGTTGTTTATATAAATGATATGTGTAGTGGATAGTGTAAAAAACTTGAATTTAATATTTTTTAAAGTTTTAGTTAATTGTTAAAAATATCCGCAGTGAAAACGGAAGTTCCTGTAAGGTTCGCAGTGCTCCCTTAGGTAAAACGCAAAAGCGTACAAACGCAAAAAATTTAATAAATTACAAACTTTAACTAACAGAATTGTTCAGATTTTATTTTTATGTTGCAGCGTTCAGACCACCCTTCACGCGTTGCATTGCCAAAAAATTATTATTTTTTACTGCATCGTTTCATGTTAAATTTAGTGCAGTTGCTGCAATAAAAACGAATAATTTTTTTGCATTTGTTTATGAATTATGCGGTACATTTGCATAATTTGCTAAAGTGGCTCCCTTTTTGCCATGCCTCCCAGGCGCAGGGATGCCACATCGTAAATTAATTTGTTGTAACGAAACTCGTATATTTTTTAATGATTTAAAGTTTATAAATAAATAAATTAAATGAGGCGTTATATTACCAATTTTTTTGTTTAATAAAACTTTTCATAATTGTGATATATTTTCACAACATAAATATCTCAAAATGATCACAGTTAAATGAATTTACATTTTTTCTAAATGTGAACAATAAAAAAGTACATCCTAAAAAATTAGCTGTATAAAGTAATAATTCGCAATAAATTTTAATTAAATAAATTATTCAATTCATGCTACGTGTAGCAACTCATTTGGAACGCTTATGTACAATATTTAAACACGGATTCAGAAATCATCGGGGGTTCTCGAATATCATTAATAGAAATCATGGTATAGAATTTCAAATGCTGCACAATCCTGAGAACAAAGTTTAAGGCTATTCCTTTTTTTTCGTTTTTGTTTTATTGAGAATAAATTTTAGATATTTGAATTAATCTGAAATTTTCTATCTAGGTCACCTTTGGCATAAGTAATATCTATGAGTTGATCTCCAAATGAATTGCAAGTTGAGAATTGTTATCCATTAACGACAAAGGACTTTCTTGAGTAAAACTTCCAGAATTTCCAAAATAATTATGTGGTAATGTAACATATAAACACTAACGTAGAGCGACTTTCGATCTTCTTCACAAACTATTCTTCAAAATCCTCACAAATGCTTCTGCTTCACTTCTTGTGATCAAAACAATGTCTAAATTTTAATATAATTTATTGTTAAGTAAATTTAATTATTTTGTATGTTTATAAATTGCTTATTGAGAAAGTTTTTTTTTCAGACAATACGATATTCGATAATTAGCAGAGTTTTTTTTGGATATTGGAAAAATCTTGTCTTTTTTGATATATGTAAGGTTATGCTTTAAACTGATTTCTGAGTATTAGTTTCATAGTGATTTTCGATATGTTCAGTTAAATAGCTTCTTATCTTCTATTCAGGTGAATCAAACTTAGTTAACAATCAGTGCACAGTATCATTGATCTGCGTTTTAGTAAGTATCCTTAGTAAAAGAACATATACTTATCTGAATATAAGCGGCTCTAAGACATATCTATAATCATTTTCTAATAGTTGCAGCATATAATTGGAATACTAAAACACAACCTAACTTGGTAAATTCACATTTTATCAAAAAATGAAAATATTACTGGATAGGAACCTTAAAATTATCTTTGCAATTGCCTAGGATTTGAAAGATTGAAGTTTACGAAGTAATGAGCCTGGCGAACAGCTCAAACACAGATCTTAAAAAAAATATAGATTGATTTTTATTAAGAACAATATTGCCTTGAACATGTGTATGGTAACAAAACGGCTGTTTTATATGACTTGACAGATAAAGTGTGATTTGATTCGATAAAGGTATTTATAAAGAATATAAATGTCTACAAACACTACTACAAAAACGTTAGATTATTATAAAAGTATTCGATAGGACACCAAAATTTGACAGATCGAGAGTAAATCTATATTGAAAACAGATTTACTACTTGAAACCGTCATCAGAGAGATGATAACTTATATTATAATATCATACATATTTCGTCATTAAAATGTTATATTTTAATTTGTTTGCATACAATATTAACCTTCTATTTACCTTTTACATTGCATGTAAATATAATATTATTAAATGCATATTATTCTCGGCAGTATACTACTAAAGTAAAAGTTGGTGTACCACACCATTGAAATAATTTTAAGCTATAGATAATTGATTGGGAAGGAGATCAAAACAAATCAGTCATTAATGCAATGCCAGATATTCTAGACTTAGTAGAATCAATTATAAAACAAATGTTCCGTTTGTAGTAAAATTTCATTTGTAAATGATCTTAAGGAATCATCGATATAGATTACTATCACTTCTCTTAAACTAAAATTTTTAAACTATGCTATAATAACATTTATAACTATATTATATATGTAAAACTACTAAGAGCAAGATAATCATATCAAAATAATAAAGTAATGATATCAAAATAAAATTCAATAAAAAAAAGTTTTTTTTTTTTTTATTATATTTGAATGAATCCCCTATGTTGTCATACAATAAAAAATTCATATATTTACTTAAATAAAGTTAAGTCGTTTTAACACGTTTTAAGACGTTGTCATGCATTAACAATTCCTTAAAACGAAAGCTTAAATATTGCAGATTAGGATTATCGGCATAATGCTTCATATAAGTACTCAAACATTTTATCGGATATGCACATCAAAATCTTCAGGCTTTGTGGTCTTTAAACTAAGTGCTGTATAGTTCAATCTTACATGCGATTTGGTTTACCGAACATATTGAAGTAATTCTCACATTGGATGAAACAAACAACTGTAAATATTGGATATGAGATTGCAAAGGTGTTTTACCCTTAATCCACAATTTAACGGCTGAAAATTTTCATTAAAATCCAACGTTATATGAGGTTCAGATATATGATTATTAAGAAAATATTTAGTTTTGCAAATATTTATTTATTTATAAAGGTGATTTCGAATTATTGAAATATTGTACATACCAGAATTCTTTATATTGACTTAACCTCTGTATATAGACTTGATCAATATAAAATGATTTCATTTTCAAGTAAAATGATTGGTATAAATACATCGGATTACAGTTATAAAATCACAGTATTTGTCTGAATATTTTTGTTAAACATTACGTACAAGAAATGAATCCAAGTGTACTTAAGTTAATCATTATCCTCGTCTTTTATGTTACTGGCTTAACATGTGTACCAGTCATTACAATGACAGAAACAGGACCAGGCACGGGTACAGGTGGAGGTACGGCCACAGATTCGTTCCCTTCGATAACTCGAGAGTATACCTATACGGACCACACCTCAACAACTAAAGCACCGGTAGTGGTACAAGGTACAACAAGGAGAATCGTAAGACCTGGAGAAACACCCCCACCTGCAGGAAAACGTTAGAACGGATGACTATTCAACTCATATTGGATCCAAATGTTTCTTACTTTTTAATTTTTGTTTTCTGTAAAATTCAATAAATTTCTTCAAAAAACATATAATTAAGTTTAATTTTCACACCACTTGAACAGTTTAAGTTCTTTATGCGTTATGTAGCTTCTTGGATTTATTTATAATTTTTAATAATACATCGTTTTTTTTAAAGAATTAGATGAATACTATTTTTTCAAATATGGTCACTTTTACAATTGCACTTCTAGTGCAATTTTCATTAGATTGGTACATCTCGAGCGAAATATATAACACTCGACATTAATATATAACAATATTGATACTTTGCTGAAGTAGCAAGATTAGCTTGAAATTCACAGCTTTTTTATATGACTTGACATTTAAAGTGTGATTTAATTTGATATATGTATGTTATTTATAAAAAATATAAATATCTGCTAACACTACTACAAATACGTTTGATCACTCTAAAAATGTTCGATTGGACAGATCCCAGGTGCATCTAGATTGAATCCAGATTTACCAATCGAAAACGTCATAAGTTAAAAAACGACGTGTTGTGTGGCATGCGTCATTGTCTTATTGAAGTCACATAAAGGAATCGACGTTAATATCTCTAATTTCGAACTTTAATATTCATGGAATTTTAATGAACAAAATTGACAGTTTGTATCACATTTTCGGCACTTTCAAAAAGATATTGTCATATCATATTTCCAGACTAAATGTCATAGCATACAGTGATATTGCTGGATACAATGTTTTTTCAATAGGTTCTTGTAATATTTACTGTTCCAGATGAGACATTTTCCTAAGAAAATTCGATGAAGGAAATCGTCACCATTTTTGTAGTAAGTGTTCACAATTTTAACAGCTTTAGTAGAATCATAGGCTTATGTTTGAACGAAACCTGTGATGTTTTGAATGAGAGTTTTATAGGACATATGTCACTGTTACTATGCTGCCAAATCAGACTTACGAAATATACATGTCTTAATAATTATTAAATTAATTGTGATTAGAAACAAGACAATGCTTATAATTTTTGGGATTACTTAGTACATAAAATCAAAACCATTATTTTTATTAGAATTTAAAATTGTTTTGCAGCAAATTGAACTAGCATACTTCATACTGAATACGTCATAAATCAGGAAGGTTGACCCTTATTTTTAGTGGATTTTTGGGTGTACTTCTTGTAAATATTAAGCAGTCTCATTAAATTTTGTAAGATCACATAAGCAGGAGAAAGTAAGGTACTACTTACATTATGGATTTTATCAGCTGAACTTGATATTGTTGAGTTCTGATATTGTTGATACACAGTCATGAATATGAATGGCCTTGAATTCTAAGTTTTTATCTACTAGTGCATTAGAAGTACTAGTCGTGGATTCTGAGATGATCAACTTGCATACATTGTAGGTAGTAGGGTCTTTAATGAACCCAATTAAGGAAAGCATAAATAACATGTTTTTGAATTATTGTATTTTGAATTAATAGGTTGAACATGAATTATTAACTATTATCTTAGTTCAGAGTTCTCACTACTATTTATTGTAAAATTTCTAATACATTTACATATTTTTCAATTGTATGTAATAAATTTTTTAAGTAAAAGCACAGTTAGATATGAATAGAAACTTTATAAATATTTTAAAATATAATTATATTTAACTAACTGATAATTAGTAATATTAAACAATTTCGAGAGCATTTTATTGCAAAAATAATAATTGAGTAGAAAAATCCATAAACAGGCAATTTTATTAATAGGAGTATGTGTGCGTTAAATATTTTTAATTGCAATAAATTCATTTTATTAAATTCCACCCAAGGCAGACCGCAAATGCCAAAATTTACAAATAAAATCGGTAAACATATGAAATAGTTGTGTAATATGTATCGGGAAAATTGTTTTAATTATTTTTTTGTTGAATAGATTCATAATTTTTTATATCAGAAAAGCCTCATGGGTTTGGTTAACACGCGATTCGGGATAAGTGCGGCAAGAACCTCAAATTCTAGTGACTACAAACAAATCGACCTATGAAACGCGTATCCTTTGCAGATGTGTACACATGTATTTACACTCGTAAACACGGATACAATTTGCAATTTGCAATTTGCATAAATATTCATTTTAAATAATAAAGTTGAAAGCCAACAAATAATTGTTACATAAACTGTGGCTTTAATGAATACTTTGGCGGCGAACGGTACCAGCAGGTGTTCCAAGCCAATGTAATAACCGCGTTAAGTATCATTTTTATTTTAAAGTATTTATTTTGTTTGGAACCAAACGTTTTTTACACATGTGAAGCACACCTCCGCAGTGTGTGCCCGCGCTGGAGCACTCCTTTCGGCAGTTCCTCCCGCCACATTGGATTAATAAAATTATTGCCAATTGAGCAAATTTGTTAAATTATAAAGAATTATTATGCATTCGCTTACATAGGTTTATGAGCTTGTGCGGCTATTAAATTTTATATAAATTAAATATGAAATTTATTTAAACATTTTCCGCTTTTTTCCACCTTATAAGCAAAATGCATTCGCCAATAATACTCGCATTTGTAAAAATTATGTTCTATTTTATTGTTTGCTCATGTAATTACCATAAAATTCAAAAAATATATTATTTGTTTAAAATTTTTAGTGTCAGTGCATAAATATTTTAATTATGTATTAATTTATGCAATTCTTTTTTTTTCAACTCTTTTCGATATTGGCTATGCCATAATTAATTAAATTTGATTAATGGTTATTTATTTTAAAATTTTTTGAGACATGTTTCAATGCATTTTATACGTGCTTCAATGATTTTAAATAATAATTTTTAATAAAAAAACTTAAATAATTTCAAATAATTTTAAAAGACTAGTAATTTAAAATTATATTAGTTAAGTTTGGTTTTAGTTGTAATTATTTGATATTATAAGTATATATTTTGCACAAATTGAAAGAAATTTTTTATTATATATCAACTCACAGTCTGTACCAAAGTCTGTACAAAGTGAAATGATTTGATACTACGAAAGCCATGGAACAATGAGTCACTAAATTGGCACCATATTAAACAATTATTATTATTATTATTATTATAATTATTATTATTATTATTTTTGACATGTTCAAAAATATATATACAAAAACTTAGTTTTATCACAAAAGATTTCAAATTATATCTATCACGCACTATAGCTCTTAGATCACTGAAGGATTTGCCCGACTCTATGTTCATTATCCTTTTTCATGCTGTCTTTGGTCGACTGCGATTTCTTCTTCCTTGCGGATTTCATTCAGTGCGATTACGCTGAAGGGTTTGTGTAGAGTGTGGCTCAACCACCCATACTTTATTTTCACGATTTATATTAAACAATAGGTGTCGAAAATATGCAGATTGCAAGTAATTAAAACCGATCTTACCATACAGGTTATAGACAGGTGTGTATACTTCAACTTTGAATGAACATCAATACAAGTAATGGAGTGTCTCGAAAAGCTAAATATCTATGACCAAAACATACAGATATGACTCCCGGGTCACCTTGGAATTTCCAGCAACGAAATTTCATGCAAGCAATGAAAGGTGCAGCCTACCTTTTTGTAGCTCTGGACCAAACCGTTAGAATCAATTTCTTTTAACTTTTTCCGAAAGAAAAGGAGAAACAGTGAAAGTCATATTGAAATAGTAAACCTGAGCTGTTACAATCAAAATCACTTATAGAGACTTTCAAATTAACACGATGAAAGAATTGTATGCAACTAAGTTAATATAATTTAAGAATCATTACAAGATTTTAGAGGGGGCATTGTGGGTTAAACTATTATTTTTAAATACTGCGAACTTATTCCAATGGAACTTTAAGGTTTTGTAGAAAAACATTCGCTGGGAGTATGCCGGCATTGATACATAAACGAAAAAAGCACTTAATTGGGCACCTCATATCGGATGAAGAAAAAAATAACTGTGTGAAGTGGATTCAATACAAAAATTTAGAGCGGCGTTGGTGTTTTTCATCTCACAGATATTGGTTTTCATATGAATTTGTATCGCCAGACGTGTAGACCAATTAATGCTTAAGAATACAGATCAAAGTCTTTACAATCATTTATAACAGAAGTTAGCAATTTTATTTAAAAGACGATAACAGCATGGAATAATACTCTTAAGCCCTTTCTGCTGTGCTATTATGGTTTCATTAGTAAGATTAGGTTAGGTTTAATTTAGTAATTAAATTCGATGTAATTTTAAGAAAGTTTTTTAATTTCAAGGTTTTCAGAAAATTTCTATGAAAAAATCAAGTTTCGCAATTTATAAGTGTCATACTGTTTTTAGTGGATTGCCTTTTTCCAATTTTGAGAATGCTGTTATGTATATTTCCGAATTTTCTAATAGCGTACTGATGAACGTGTATAAGTGATCTTTTGGCAGATTAATCTGATATTCCAATAGATTTCTTCTATTCTTTATTTCGACTTGATTTCTGAGCGAATTTCGGCTTTGTCACCTGCTTTATAACATAAAGCGTATACATTTTATTCTTTTGCATGACAAATGCAGTTGCTTATACTGAGATGGAATCAATACATTTGCAAATTTTCTCTTCGGACATTACTGATATATAGATGACGTTATAAGTGTGATGTGATACTGATGTGCTGTTATGAGATAGTACAATAGAGTTTATCATTGAAAGACTGTTGACATTTAAGGTACAATTCATTTTAATATCCTGTGACTCCAGGGTTTGATTGCAACCTGACTAACTTTGTGAATATCAAACCGATTAATGAAAATAAATTGTTTATATCTAAATCTGATCATGTTTACATAAAAAAATAATATTTCCCTGACATTAGCCTCAAGTTAATACGTATAAGATGCGTTCTATAATATCAAGATCTGAGAATTTTGGTGTACCAAATGTGTAGCTAAACGTTTTAATCGAATTTTTTTTTTAATAAACGCAGTTAAATTAAAATTTATTACTCTATAGATAAAAAGTCACGTGAGTACGATGATTTATCTATCACATTTGCAGAAGTTTTATCAACTTCAGAACATAAGAAAATGTAATTCGAAAAACATCTATGAATACAAATAAATCAAAATTAATACAAACGAAAAAAAAAAATAATATAAAAATTATAAGTTTTTCGCAGAACATATCCAACTATGACAGATTGCTCCAATCTTAATATTTTCATCTTAAATTTCTTTTTTGCCGATTTCGACTTGACTGTATAGTCTTGACCTTTGTTTTACAAGAGAGTGATTCTTTGATTGTGTCAACGCAGCCTTAAAT